GCAAGTAATAAACGACGAATCTACAAAATAATATACACAAGAATATAATCATTTAAATGTGAAATGCATGTAACTAACAAAAATGAGTCAACAAAATTATATTGATTTACTAACCGTAGCACCAATGGCGATAAACAGCAACTCAAGCGTCCATCTCTATCTGTTTTGATATGAGTTACCGACCCAGGATTTTTCAGCTTTAAATTGTGACAATAAGCCGGCAGTTGGGCAAACGATGCTTCTGGCGACCCCCTCAACAATTCCAAGGCATAACATTTGGCTCTCCAAGCTTGAGAATATGATATACTAATCTTGAACCGAGCATTCATGTCAGTCATAATTTCATGTCCCCGATATACCCTGCCATTCAAAAACATTAACTCAGCCAGAAAACCACCCAACACCTTTTTGTTTGCCTGTCTATGGTGAGGAAAAACTTGGGTTCTTGAACATGTATGTTTATCAATAAAAGTCCTAACTTGAAACATTTTGCAATCTTTTATTCTCTTTGCAATCATACACCACGTACAGTTTTTGTCAATCATACACCTTGTTTCGAAACGATCTTTGCTTGATTTGTTAACTTTTAGTTGATAGCCATCTTCCACACATTTCGTATACAAAGCTATCTTCAAGTCTTCCTTTGTATCAAAACAATCATCTTTCTTGACACGAATAACTTTTGTGTAACAATCAACTGCTTTCTTTGCCAACTCTTCTTCCGGTAACTGAAGTAATTCTGGCATATTCCAGTTATACTCCCGTGGCATTTTCTTTCTTCGGGGACTTTTTCTTCTTCTTTTTCTTCAGGATTATATGAATTACAGAATGGATGTTCAACATGTTCATTCACAGTCGTAACTTCCTCCTCATTATCATCAACATCTTCCTCGGCAACGGGTGTTTCATCATCAAAATTCGGGTATTGACCAATATTAAAATCATTACACACATGGTCTGTTTCTTCTTCTGAAACATCATCAAAATCCGTGTATTGACCATATCAAAGTCCGGATATTGACCAAGACCAAATTTCGAATACTGACTAGTACTCACAATTTTTCTGTTGGCTCATCATCGTCTAACTGGTCAATACGAAAACCGGAATTTGGTGCTGAAAGTTGATTGGGATTTGGATTAGAGAAAGGTTGTGGGTTTTGAGAAAAACTTAGTTGATTACTACCCGCTACTGACCCAACAATACTACTTCTAGGTTCAACAACATACAATGTAACATCATCTTGTGAAACACTAATGTAAGCAATGAATCGTTCAACATCTTCATTGTCGGTTAACAAATAAACTTTACCATTTCTCTGATAAGATAGCCTAAATCCACTTAGGGGCTCTAAATTCAATTTATTTGAAACACGTAGCATTAGGGTTTCATAAGTTAACTTTTGTAAAGACAATTTTAGTTGAAGATTCATGGGTAAAGGCATATATTGTAAAACACCATGAACATTATCCCATGACCCTCCAAAACACAAATCTATCCAAACATGATCAACATTAGATGATTTCATGGTTGTAAATTAATTTACTAAACAGACGAGCTGCGAAACTAAAACCTGTTGCCGGATTGGGAAGGATGTCGTTGGATATAGGAACGGATGTCGCCGGAGAGAGTGATAGATGGAGATGGAATGAGTTGCGATTTAGGGATTTAGTTTATGATTTCATTGTTATATACCCAAAATTTCAGTGTTGTGATTTACAGATTCTCGTTGCGATTTACGGATTATCGTTGCGATTTACAGATTCTCGTTGCGATTTACGGATTATCGTTGCGATTTACAGATTCTCGTTGCGATTTACGGATTATCGTTGCGATTTACGGATACGCGTTGCGATATACGGATACGCATTGCGATTTACGGATACGCATTGCGATTTACGGATACGCGTTGCGATATACGGATACACGTTGCGATTTATGTGTTCGCGTTGCGATTTTCATATTCGCGTTGCGATTTTGGAAAATCGCAATGCGAATCCGTATATCGCATTGCGATTTTCAAGAATCGCGTTGCGATTTTGGAAACTGATTTGCGATTCTGGGGATCGCGTTGCGATTTTTATTTCGCGTTGCGATTTTGTTGGTCATTTTGGCAAATCCAAAAAAAGTTGGTTAAAATCGTATATTATAACTTTTTTTTGGTCACTGAGGCGATTTTCTCTATTAACTATTACTATAAAAAAAATTATTAGATCTATTATTCAAACTTAAGATACCTCACAAAAATAATCAAACATTTAACCAATAAATTAGATTAAGAATTTATTTAATACATACCAAAATTATTATTTAACTATAAAAATATTGAATTAAAATTAAATAATTTCTAAATTTAATTTAAAATAAAAAAAATTAAATAAATATTTATTTATTTTATAAAATTAATATTAATTTATTCTAAAAACTAAATTTATGATATTTATTATAATATAATACAAGTTCAAATTATTTTAAAAATAATTAAGTAATAAAAAATTACATTCTATCATCAGTAGCTTAAAATTATGTGTATTAAGTTATTTACTAATTAAATTAAAAAATAAAAAATAAAAAATTTAATAAATAAAATTATTATTTATATTTATTTAATAATAAATTTTTAATTTGTAATTAATTTATGAAAATAAATAAATAAAAATCATATTTGAAATTATAAGGTTAGAATATTAATTTGATCTTATTAATTATTTATTTAAATAAATAAATAAACATAAGTTAATTGGATTATTTGGACGCTTAGCTTAAATGGTTGGGCGCTCATTTTTACTTCATGCCAACCCATGTTCGATTCCTGGCAGTGTCTCTTTTATTGTTTTTCCCTTTGTCATGTTTCTATGGTTAGTTGAATAAAATTAATTAAATAGTAATGTAGATAATAATTTAAAAATTAAAAAATTTTACGTTAGCTCTGCCGTTAAAAGTCGTATTAAAATGAAACAAAAATTAAATTTTACGTATGATTTTATAAAAATTGAAAGTTTAGGTACTAAATGTGTAGTTTACCCAAAATTTAAATACTATAAATTAAAATCATTAAAAAATAAAATAAATTTAAAAGCTGTTAAATTTGTACATTTAGAATGTAAAAAATATTTTAATAAAAATATCCTATAATCATTGAAAATAATAATATAATAGTGTTAAAATTATGATTATTTTTTATTTAAAATATTTTCTTTTAAATATTGGGAAATAAAGTGAACAATGTTTGAAAAATAAAGTTACAAATAATAATAAATGTATATAATATCATATAACAGTAGTAAGAATTTTTGGGTTTGTCCTAGTGGTTTAACTATACACATTCTTCTTTTTGGTCCCAGTAAGCGCATCCATTCATCTCTTTATTTCCGCCTTGAGCAGGTAATAAAATTAATTAAAAAAACTCTCCAATCAGCTAATGACACGTGTCACTAATAAAATTCATAATATTATATTAACATGTGTCATCTTCTGATTAGATGATTAATATTTTTATTTAAATTAAAATTAATATTAAATGGGTAAAGTATATAAATAATGAGGATTGTGTTAATTCCACATCAACATCTTAGTCAAATATTAACGGTTAGTGACTTGATTGACAACAATTAAATAGTTAAATGGTCTAATCGACAAAATTAAAAGAAGTAAAAAGGTTAAATAGTTGTTCAATGGTATAATTTACCCTCCTAAAATAAACATCCGTTACATTATTTAGTCAATTGATTTTTTTTCTCAAAATTTTAGGAGATGTAAAAAAATCCCTCTTGATTCTCCTCTTTTCTAAACCCGTACAGATATAAAACACTTAAATAAATAAAGCAAGTAGCAAAATTAAAACTAGGTTCAGAAGAGGAAATTGGGAGATGGAAGTGGTGACTTTGTGTTTCCAACTTTAGCTCCAAATGATGATAGAAATTCAACAATATAGGACACCAAATCAAAACTACCTATCTGAAAACGCATTTAAGAATTCAATCTACGCTGCAGTTCCCATTTATATAAGGATTTGATGAGCAAACAAATGGGGCGGACATCATTGTAGGATTTCAAAGTTCAGCTAAACCCGATTTCCCGGACTATCATCGTAGGATTTCCATGAGCAAAACTATGCCTTTACAAAAGAGATATAATTCTACCTGGTTGCTGTCTGAAGATGGAAACAATATGTTCGACTCGAGTAAGGTTGAACGACCTTGCATTCTACAGGAGATCCCTAGCAGGACACAAGCATAACATGGCACCTTTCCTTTGGTTTCGCCATCCAACACAAGCAATGAAAAAAATTACCTACGTAAGAATGATTGAAAATAAGTCAGATTCACAACCTATAAATGGAACCAAAAAAAAAACAGATTCATTCAAGATTGCAAAAGCATATTTAAACTTCCTGAATTGCACACTTTTGACCCTGCAAAATCAACATATGCTTCAGGATCTTATATAAGAAATTAAGAGAGACAAAAGGAGAGTAAAATAAACTTGAAAATATACAACACATGACAAATAGCCATGTCATTTCTCTTCGACATGCATTCAACTAAGCAATAAGTTACAGAAGCACATCAAAATGTGCCTAAGAAACCATGATAAATCACCATACATCCATAACTGCATATGTCCAATTAAATAATTAAATGAAAGTGAAGCATTAACAATTACAATCAACATATATAAACAAGAAAATTCAACTCCTATGAAGAACCTAGAAGCACCCTGTAGCTGTCAAAGTTGATAAGTCAAATTATTCAAGTTAGAAAGAAACTAAATTAAACTGTTTCACAACAAAGCTAAGAGGAACTAAATAGCATTAGGCAAAATAAGAAATAAAAGTGTTTCTTTTTTCCCTACAGACAGGTACCGTCCACCAACACCAAAGCCAAATACCATATATCCATATTTGTCCAATGAGAAGCAAATAGAAACACTTAAAGGGAAACAAGATATACGAGTCTTTAAGGTTGATAATAGGATATGTAATGTAAACCCTAATCTAATCTTAGTTCGAATCCATGCCATCTCCGACTTGGCTGCAGATTGGACTCACAGCAGAGAAAGATCTCTCGAAAGGAGAAGGATGGAACTGCGCATCACGTCTGCGCTTAAAACCACAGCTATCAGGGGATGGGGAATTATCAACATCGAGCTTCCTCCTGACGCCTCTAACAGCCTGTTCCTCGGCTTGAGTGAGGGGAAAGACCTGGCCGCTTGCCCGGCAAAGGGAACTATGGTTATCATACAAAATTCTCTGGTTACAATTCTTGTCACAGATGTGAGTGATCCCTGTTAGTTTGCAGCGATACATGTTGCCACAAACATGTTCGTTTTGACATTTCCAATCGCATTTGTGAACAGGAAAAGGACCATCATGGCCCAGAATAGTAGACAAATAAATAACATTTGCAGGGGCAGCAGCCATGGTTTTGCCGTATACCTCCAGTTCCTTTGAGACCGGAAAGTCTTTTTCTAGGGATGAAGAATCCGCACCGTGTAACGCTCAAATCAAACGTTTCTTCTGCGGAGCCCAACAGAAGAAAAAAAATGGGTCAACTCTCTTTTCCTGCTAGCTAATTGCTACTACTGTATTTTGAGGGTCAAAAGTCTTCACTAAAAAAGTAACTCCTGTTTATACAAAATTATCAAACGACCCAACCAACTAAAGATCAAAGTTTTAAAGAACCAATCTGTAGACAAATTATTTCGTCCCATCACACATACATTTATATATTACATTAAACATATTTTATAAATTATTTATTCTATTTTTATTACATGTGACAGGCCTAATGTTCGGCCCAAACTCATTACAAAAATAAGGCCCAAATACAAGATGCCCAATTGAAGATGCTACACGCCCAGCATCTTAAACTCGGAGCCCAACAGTGATCCAATGGAGCGGCCCGAATCAAAAACACGTGACCCGAACTCAAGAGCAACCCTAATCGGCCCGCTGAAGCCCAACCCGAACCGGTGGAATAGGGTTTTCAAAACCCTAGTTTCCTACCTCTTCCCTCAACGTCGCATCCCTTTCAGTCTTCTCAACAGCCTCCACACTCTTCGATCAACCCTAAATCCTCTGACGTAAAGAAATCACACGAAACCATCACCAACAACCACAACCAACAACAGCAGATGAATTATATTAGGATTCTAAAAATAGCGTTTTTATTATTATAAATAAGCTTGTAACTAGGCACGAAGGACACACATGATACACAATATTACACTCAAAATACCGAAAGGAAAATAAGAGAAAAGTAGTGAAATCAAAGTGTTTTTTGTACCGATTTGAAGAGGAATAATAGGTAAAGTTCTTACCTTTCTTGGTCTTCACTTGCATGTGTTTTATTTCATGTGTTTTCCCCTATTTTTGACTCAAAAATCGGTCGTCGATGAACAAAGGGGGGCATTTTCGAGATATTATCTCTTAGATCTAGCCCCCCTGAGGCATTTTTTAAAAGAACCAAGCCCATATTTTGAAAGAAAAGACGAAGAGCTTTCGAAAATAAAAATAAACTGGGAGACTACAAAGAATTAGAGCTCACCCCAAAACCTCATTTCAAATCCTAGGTTGTTTTGAGATTTTTTTCATGCTTTAATTCCTGTTCAAAGCATGTGAACTAGAAATTTATGCGGTTAGGGCTGGTTCAAATTTAACATGTGGGATAGAGATCATGTCCGGGTAGGAATAATAAGCATGTGGGGGTAGATATCATGTGGGGTAGGACTTTTATTTTCATGATTGTTTTGATTATTATCTTTACCTCACTAACTCTTTTCATTTTTGTTCTCTTTTATTTTATTTTCATCATTTGCATCATTCAAAAGAGGTGTTGATCCCCTAAAAATGTGTTCGTTAAACGTAAATAATTTTAATTAATGGACAAAGGGGTTATAATACTAGAGATGAAAAGCTCAGAAGTCCAGCTATGGTCAGAGAATACTCAGAATGGATCGGAATTTACGATGTGCACACCAAAAGTCAACTTTTTGAGCTAGCAAGGGTCACTACAACAAATTTGTCAATTTATGACAAAATTTCTATATGACGTTACGTATATCATCACAAAACATACTATAATGTGACTTTTTTTAATTTCGTCATATTTACTGATTAATGGTATATCTTTATGACAATTTAAAAATGGTCATTGATTTGTCACTATATGTTTGGCGCCAAAATCTTCCCACCAAATTTTTTTGTGGGAAACCTTTTAATGATATTTAGATAAAATAATGACGTTGTAAAATCGTCTCCAATGAAAAACACGTATTAGTGACGATTTATTATAATGACGATTCAATTTGAATTAGTGGCATTGCACATTTGTCACTAATAAGTTTTATTGTTGACAATTTAATTTGTCATATTTTATAAGACACTAAAAGTGACATTTTATTATTGTCACAAAAGTGACAATTTAATTATTGTCATATTTGAAGTTAGCTTGCTTATTCTGTTTGGAGAAGCTTTACACGTGAACCCATTTTTTTTTAGTTTAGGAATTGCAACTTTTTTTAATAATAAAAAATTCTTTAATATTCAATCCAAAACAATTCTTTAAAATATATTAAAAAATTATTCAATATATGTTAAAAGACATTTTCTTTTAAAAATATATAGAAATAAATATATTTATCTAAATTATTTAAATTATTTTTAATAATTATTTAAATTGAATATTCCTTATTTTTAATGACTATTTTAAATTATTTTTAATTTATCTAAATTTTTTATATTTTTCTAATTTTTAATAATTATGTTTAGATATATTGGAGGTAATTTTTCAACTTCCCCCCAAATAAATAGTACAACAAAAATGTTTTTAGCGGCGTTTTTAGCGGTGTTTTGAGAGTAAATGCCACTAACTTTAAACATATTGCGGCGTTTACATTCCAAACACCACAAAATGGTAACTTTAGCGGTGTTTCTTTACAAATGTCGTAATAGGGTTCATCTATAGTGGCGTTTTTTTGATAAACGATGCAACAGAGAAGTACTTTAGCGGTATTTTTATACAAACGCTGTAATAGGTCCATCTATAGTGGCGTTTTTTCAATAAACGCCGCAATAGATTAGTACTTTAGTGGCGTTTTTATACAAATGCCATAATAGGGTTCACCTATAGTGGCATTTTATAATAAACGCCGCAATAAATTAGAACTTTAGTCGTGCTTTTATACAAACGCCGTAATAGAGTTCACCTATAGTGGTGTTTTGTCAATAAACACCACAACAGATTAGAACTTTAGCGGCGTTTTTATACAAACGTCGCAATAGTGTTTACCTATAGTGGCGCTTTTTCAATAAACGTCGCAATGTTTGAATTTATACAAAATGTTATTAAAATTAAAGGAAAATATTATTATAATTAATGGAAATATTATTAAATTATGAATTAATAACAAAAATGACATGAATTGAAGTAAAAATTATTATAATAATATTTAAAAATATTTTACGAAATTACTCGATGTGGATTATATATAGAAAGTACAATCTTACTTGTAAACAAAAACCCTTTTCCAGCCAATTCTTTTATGCTTTCTTCCCCTTTTTTCCTCATACCCTAAACTATCAAGCTATCATATGTGCTATCAAATCTTAATCTTCCGTTCATCTCCCCGTTTGACTGCGGTGCCAGGTAAAAGTTTTTTTGTTGGGTTTATAAGATTCCTTCAGTGTCTAAAGATTGTGAGCAACTAAGAAAAGCCTTTTCGAGTCTTTTCGATTTCAATTTCTTTTATCTCCCATTTTTTTTATCGTATGTTTAATCTAGGTATGTTAGATCTGAACATCTCAATACAATATATAATAGGTTCTATCATGATTGTTTCTGCATTTATTATGGAATTGAAAATGCTTTTCTTTTTACATTAAAAGAGATTTTTTTTCTACTTCGGTGGGGATGATCTTGCGATATCTGTTGAGATATATGTATATTGTGTTTTGAAGAATTGTATTGTGGATTTGAATTTTTCTCTGTACAATATGCACCCAGAAAAATATTGGAATTGGCAGCATAAACTGCCTTATTTTAGTGCTTTTATTCAAATGTGATGTAATTAGTAACAAGAATTAAAGAAAATTCACAAATGACCCATACAGGAAGTTATGGATAAATATTTTCGATTAAAACGAAAAAAGAAACAAATTATTTTAGGTTAGTTATGGATAAATCTTTTCTGTTAGCTAATGAATTCTCAAGTATCTTTCATTATTCTTAGCATTCATTCCTATTGTATGATAGCTAGGAGTAGGAGTATTGAGTTTGGCTTATTTTTATAATGTTGAGATGTGATCATTGGTACTCTGATTTTGTAATTTGTAATTTGTAATCTGATTTTGTTGTACCAGGCGGTGCTCCGAGTTCTTGACATTCATGCTTGCATCTGGAAACCAAAATTCATGTTCTCAACTTATTGGCTCATTCTGGTTTGAGTTAGTTTTTAAGTACAAGTCTGGGTTTCTTTTATGCTCGGCTCATTTTGAATTCGGGTTATTTCGGCTGGGAGTTTTTAGATTTAATTATTTTAGTTTAAGTCATTTTAATTTTAGGTAAGATTCAACATTTCAGATCATATTATTTTGAATTTAAATCATTTAGGTTATGGTACTTGATTATTATTCTTTCAACTCGTTTATTTGGCAATTTCTATGCTTATGTTGTTTTCGAATTTATAGACCTAAATTATGATCAAATTAGCTAGACCCTCCCCTCTTTTTCCCCTTATGGTTCTTTTGTCCAAACCGCATACTTTGTTGCAATGAACTCATTGATTTGAAAGAAAATAAATTGTGTATTTGAAACAGCTGGTATTATAATGCCTCATTGTCTGTAACCCTGCTTTGTGAAATTCAGGGTGTTATAATCCACTGATTCCCTTTATAATTTGCTTTCAATTCAGTAACTTATCTAAATCCCCTGACAATTACAATTTTCTCTAACTCAGATCAGAGTGTCATACTGTAATTAGTTTCTACATTGATGACAATGAATTGACGACAATTACAATTTTATCCCACTCAAATCAGAGTGTAGATACAATCGAGTTAAAAAAAAGAGTTTGAAGAATAAAGAAGATGAACTCAATAAATATAAGTTGAATTTTGAATTGATTCAAAATCAAATGGAAGCTATGAGATCTGCTTTGTTAGCTGTTGGAATTCAAGTGTCGTCACTTCAATTTTCAGGTAAACAATATAGTTAATCAAATAAAAATTATTATATAATATTAATTGTAGTAACTAATGTTGATTATTTTAATTTGTAGCATCAAATGATACAACGAACTCAACATCAACAGAATCACAACCGACTCAAGGTTTGGATTGAGATTGCTACAACGAAATATTCCATAAGTCATATTATTTTTATTTTCTGTAAACATTTAAACATTTTTGTATTTATAGAAATGAAATTATTATGTATTTAGTGAAATATTTGTTTAAATCATATTATTTTGCAATAAGTGAACTATTTTATTTTTTTTATTTAGATTTGTATAAATAATTTTATTTTAATATATATTGTCATTAAAAATGTCATAGAATATAAATTATTTGTGTTTTGCTACTATATTTTTCATCACATATAAGTTGATTTTAATGCATTATTTGTGACAATATAAATTATCAATAACGAAATCTTATTTAATTTAGTGACGTAACCAACTGTCATAGAATATAAATTATAAAGTGACGTTATGCATAAACGTCATTCATAATATTATTAGGTAACATTTATATTATGTCACTAAAAATGTGACAATATCTCTTTAGTCACATATAGGTTGATTTTAATGTAATATCTGTGACGATATAAATCATCAATAACGAAATTTTACATAATTTAGTGACATAATTAGTTGTCATTGAATATTAATTATATAGTGGCGTTATATATAAATGTCATCCATGCTACTATTAGGTGACGATATACTACGTTACTAACAATGTGACAATTTTCTTTTCTTCACGTATACAATGAAATTATTGTGTTATTGGTGACAATATGATTTATTAATGACGAAAATGTACATCATTTGGTGATAAAAGTAATTGTCACTGAATGCAAATTAAACTGTGACTTATCCATTAGCGTCACTATATATTTAACAATACATGAGATAACACATACATCGTCACTTTTGACATTTAGTGACACGCCTAGGGTGACAATCATCGTGACATTGACTTTTATGTCACAAAATACATCTAGTGACAGAAATTGAAGTTTTAGTGACAATAACCTAGATGACTCTAATAAGAAAATTTATTGTAGTGGGTTGCAGGGGCAAGACGAGAAAGAAGGTTATTAACCTGGAGAGTCCCTTCAA